TCTCGAGTAAAAAGCTGATTTTTCAACGCAATTGTTAAAAACACGTGGATGTTTCAATATGTTCGCCTCTTGGTTCATCTCGGAGGTCATCCGAGATCGCTCCGAAAAGATGCCTTACAAGAGCTCTGTCGGCATCCCATGTATTCGAGGATGTCTCTGGCGAAACGCCCATTTTCGAGGATCCGAAAACCTTTCCTGACATGAAATGGAAGCGCGTGAAACGGAAGAGTTGCGCAAGAATTTGCAGCATCATCGTGATCAAATGTAATATAGGCGAGTTCCCCGAACGCTCACAACGGATACGTATGGACACGCGCCCCCCGAACGTGTACAAGCATCTTCCCGGTTATCCTCCTCACTCCTCCGCATGAGGAGGACGACGGCGAAAACGACAACCGTGGGAGGAGGGGGAGGAGGATGATGAGGAGGAGGAGGAGGCGAAGGAGGAGGAGGAGGAGGAGGAGGAGGAGGAGGAACAGCAGCAGCAGCAGCAAGAGCAGGAACAGAGGGTGAGGAGGGGACGGGGAAGATGACGAGGACGAGGAGGAACAGAAGCAGGAGGAGGAGGAGGAGGAAGACGAGGCGGAGGAGAAGGAAAGAGAACGAGGAAGAACGAGAGGAGGAGGAGGATGAGGAGGAGGAGGAAGAAGAGGAGAAGGAGGAGGACGAGGAGAAGGAGAAGGAGAAGGAGGAAGAGGAGGAAGAGCAGGAGGAAGAGGAGGAGGACCACCAGCAGCAGCAGCAGCAGGATCAGAGGGTGAGGAGGGGACGGGGAGGAGGACGAGGAAGAGGAGGAGGAGGAGGAAGAGGAGGAGGAGGAGACCAGATGGCTTCGAGGGCCCGTCCGAAGGCATGTTGTAAGGGATGCCTCGAGTGAAACGCTGATTTTTCAACGAAAATGTTAAAAACACGTGGGTTGTTTCAATAGTTTCGCTTCTTGGGCCATCTTTGGGGTCATCCGAGATCGCTCCGAAAAGGTGCCTTACAAGAGCTGCCTCGGCATCACATTTGTTCGAGGATGTCTCGGGCGAAACGCCCATTTTCGAGGAACCGAAAATTAGGCGAGCGATTTCAAGATCCCGAGTGTGTGAGGATGTTCCGAGCGAAACGCCCATTGTTTAGCAAAAGGCGTCTTAAGATACGGCCCCCAACTTTTCGATGTTGTGAGGATGTCTCGAGCGACACGCTCATTTTGGGAATCAGCCACGTCCTGCGCCCCGAGGCGGCCCCGCGCGTTCCCCCCCCAGACCCCCGCCCCAGTTGATAAAAAGATTCCTCTGGGCACACAGACGTCCATCGCGCGACCCTTCGAGTCTTAGCGCGCTTCCCGTCATTAGGCGAGCGATTTCAAGATCTCCGTGTGTGGAGGATGTATCGAGCGAAACGCCCATGTTTAGCAAAACACGTCTTAAGATACGACCCCCAACTTCACGACTGTGTGAGGATGTCTCGAGCGAAACGCTCATTTGGGGAACCTTTCCTGACAGGAACGGGAAGCGCGTGAAAGGGAAGAGTTGCGCAAGAACTTGCAGCATCATCGCGATCAAATGTAATGTTGGCGAGCTCCCCGGACGCTCACAAAGGATAAGCACGTATGGACACGCCCCCCCCCCCCGAACGTTTACAAGCATCTTCCTGAGTATCTTCCTCACTCCTCCGTATGGGGAGGACGACGGCGAAAACGACGACCGTGGGAGGAGGAGGAGGAGGAGGAGGAGGAGGAGGAGGAGGAGGAGGAGGAGGAGGGGGAGGAGGAGGAGGAGGAGGAGGAGGAGGAAGGGGAGGAGGACCACCAGCAGCAGCAGCAGGAACAGAGGGTCAGGAGGGGACGCGGAGGAGGACGAGGAAGAGGAAGAACAGTAGCAGGAGGAGGAGTAGGAGGAGGAGGGCGAGGCAGAGGAGGAGGAAGGAGAAGGAGGAATATGGGAGGAGGATGAGGAGGAGGAGGCGGAGAAGCAAGAACAGGAGGAGGAAGAGGAGGATAATGAGGAGGAGAAGGAGAAGGAGAAGGAGAAGGAGAAGGAGGAAGAGGAGGAGGGGGAAAGGAGGAGGAGGAGCAGGAGGAGGAGGAGGAGGAGACCACATGGTTTCGAGGGCCCGTTCGAAGGCAAGGTTTGGAGGATGTCTCGAGCGAAACGCTTTGATTGTAACAAAACTGCTTTTCATGAACAAAAAACTATTGGTGTTTCAATAATGTCGCGTCTTGGGGCATCTTGGAGGTCACCCGAGATCGCTCCGAAAAGATGCCTTACAAGAGCTCTTTGCGCATCCCATTTGTTCGAGGATGTCTCAGGCGAAACGCCCATTGCTGGAGGTCCGCGAATTAGACCAACGATTTCAACATCCCTATTTCCCGAGGATGTCTCAAGCGAAACGCTCACTTTTTAGCAGACGACGTCTTAAACGATAGCCTCCGACATCTCGATGTCGTGAGGATGTCTCGAGCGAAACGCTTATTGTTCAAATACTCTCGTTCGTGGTTCTTGTTACTGATGCTGCTTATGTTGTAGCCGAGTATTCTCAAGGCTGGATTTGTTTGAGGAGTGCAGAGGGCGAAACGCGCACCCCGAACACGTTCAGCTGACCCCGAACGTCCGCAAAAAGAACCAGATGGAGTTCACGATCCGCGCAAATTCCGACATGCCGCTCGCCCCGAACGTCTACAAAAGGATACCACATGGAATCCACAATCCGCGCAACTTCAGTCACCGCCCACCGCGAACGTCCACAAAGGATACCAGGTAGAGTTCACTACCCGCGCGAGTTTAGACGTCGCCCTTACCCCGAACGCCCACAACATATATCAGTTGGAGTTCACGTTCCGCGCGAGTTCAAAACTTGTTGGAGGATGTCTCGAGCGAAATGCTCTGGTTTAAACAAAACTGCTGAAAACCCATAGGTGTTTCAATCAGTTCGCCTTCGAGGACCCGTCCGAAAGGCATGGTTTAGAGGATGTCTCGGGCGAAACGTTGATTGTCCAACGAACATGTTAAAAACATGTGGATGTTCCGATAGTTTCGCTGCTTGGGTCATCTTGGAGGTCATCCGAGGTCGCTCCGAAAAGATGCATTACAAGAGCTCGGCCAGCATCCCATTGTGTCGAGAATGTCTCGGGCGAAACGCCCATTTTCGAGGACCCGAAAAGTTGGCTTGCGATTTCAAGATCTCCATGTTTGGGGGATGTCTCGAGCGAAACGCCCATGTTTAGCAAACCACGCCTTAAGATACGACCCCCAACTTCACGATTGTGTGAGGATGTCTTGAGCGAAACGCTCAGTTTGGTAACATTTCCTGACACGAACGGGAAGCGCGTGAAAGGGAAAAGTTGCGCAAGAACGTGCAGCATCATCGTGATCAAATGTAATATAGGCGAGCTTTCCGAACGCTCACAAATAATACGTATGGGCACGCACCCCCCGAACGTTTACAAGCATCTTCCTGGTTATCCTCCTCACTCCTCCGCATGAGGAGGACGACGGCGAAAACGACAATCGTGGGAGGAGGGGGAGGAGGATGAGGAGGAGGAGGAGGAGGAGGAGGAGGAGGAGGAGGAGGAGGAGGAGGGGGGGGAGGAGGAGGAGGAGGAGGAGGAGGAGGAGGAGGAGGAGGAGGAGGAGGAGGAGGAGGAGGAGGAGGAGGATGGGGAGGAGGAGGAGGAGGAGCGAGGAGGAGAGGAGGAGGAGGAGGAGGAGGAGAGGAGGACCAGCAGCAGCAGCAGCAAGAGCAGGAACAGAGGGTGAGGAGGGGACGGGGAGGAGGACGAGGAAGAGGAGGAACAAGAGCTGGAGGAGGAGGAGGAAGACGAGGCGGAGGAGGAGGAAAGAGAAGGAGGAAGAACGAGAGGAGGAGGAGGAGGAGGAGGAGGAGAAGGAGGAGGAGGAGGAAGAGGTGGAGAAGCAAGAACAGGAGGAGGAAGAGGAGGAGAAGGAGGAGGAGGAGAGGGAGAAGGAGAAGGAGGAGGAGGAGGAGGAGGAGGAGGAGGAGACCAGATGGCTTCGAGGGCCCGTTCGAAGGCATTGTGTAAGGGATGCCTCGAGTGAAACGCTGATTTTTCAACGAACATGTTAAAAACACGTGGGCTTTTCAATATGTTCGTTTCTTGCGCCATCTTGGGGGTCATCCGAGATCGCTCCGAAAAGATGCCTTACAAGAGCTGTGTCGGCATCCCATTTGTTCGAGGATGTCTCAGGCGAAACGCCCACTTTCGAGGATCCGAAAATTAGACGAGCGATTTCAAGATCTCAATTGTTGGAGGATGTCTCGAGCGAAACGCCCATGTTTAGCAACATACGTCTTAAGATGCGACCCCCCATTTCACGATTTTGTGAGGATGTCTCGAGCGAAACGCTCATTTTGGGAACCCGCCACGTCCCCGACCACGATTGCCTCCCGCGCGTTCCCCCCCCCGACCCCCCCCAGCTGATACTGCCTCCGGCCGAGAGAACGTCCATCGCGCGACTCTTCGAGTCTTAGCGCGCTTCCCGTCATCCGCCAGGTCCTGCGCCCCGAGGCGGCCCCGCGCTCCCCCCCCCCAGTTGATAAAGAGATCCCTCTGGGCACGCAGACGTCCATCGCGCGACTCTTCGAGTCTCAGCGCGCGCCCCGTCATCCGCGGGCCCCAGGTATCGGCCCCTTCCTCAGAGGCGTTGTTTCTCCCTTGCTGCGGGCCCCGGGGCCCGAAAGCACTTCTGCAGGCCGAGGCGAGAGAATAACGCAGAGATTCGAACAAACCAAGAAAGAAATCCGCCCGAAGTCTGGAGCCTCTCGTCGTCTGGAGCCTCTCGAAAAACGAGCCTTCTTCCTCCTAATTACCCTTAGGTCGGGCATGTCCCCCTACAGACGGACTTTGTACGAAAAATAGAAAGAGTCAAAAAGTAAACAAAAAAGCCCAAACATACAACAAAAACAAAAACACAAACAAGAATCGTCCCCAGATTATGTTTTGACTATGTTTGAACCTTCCTCCCGTAGATGGACGCGCCCGACTTAAAGTTACCCCCCCTCCCTCCCTCTCCCGCCCTCGCCCCCGCCGCGACGCGATGGCGGCGGCGCCGGCACAGCCGCAGCCGCCGGCGGGCCCGTCGCCGCGTGCGGTGGACGAGTGGTGGTTGGAGTGCTGGCAGGAGTGGTTGGGGCGACTGGGGTCGTCGTCACCTCTCCAGGGTCGTTTTTGGAGCCCTCTTGACCAGTATCGTTCGACCGACGCCCATCCCCATCCCCATGCCCATGCAGACCCCCAACACCTCAGCGATTCAGTTCAGGATATACCCTCCGAAAGCCGAAGGGAACGCCTACAATCCCCATCTGGGGCATGCCATCGGCCAGTGGGGCCCTGGCCACGCCTGGGTGGGGGGGATGGGGACTGGCGAAACGATGCTCACGTGGGCCCAAGAAAAGCAAGCTTTAAAATACAGCTCTCTCGGAGTCTCCATCTCGAGAGGACGCTGCACACGAGAGCTCCGTTCGGGTGGATGGTTTCTCCGAAGGGCTTAGGCGACCCGTCCTCCTCCTCCGCCTCCTCCTCCTCCGCCTCCTCCTCTCATCCTCTCCCTCCTCCATCTCCTCTCCTCCTCCCTCTCCTCCCTCCCCCTCCTCCTCTCCTCCCCCTCCCCCCCTCCTTCCTCCTCCTCCTCTCCCCCTCATCCTCCTCCTCCTCCCCCCTCCTCCTCCTCATCCTCCTCCTCCTCCTCCCTCCTCCTCCTCCTCCTCCTCCTCCTCCTCCTCCTCCTCCTCCATCTCGAGAGGATGCTGCACACGAGAGCTCCGTTCGGGCAGCACCTCGGATGCATCCTGGGGCCCTGGCCAGTTTCTCGGCTGCCCCCCTCCCTCTGCTGACGGGCGCCAGCCTTGCCGCTACACCTAAGTCGGGCGCGTCCCTCCACAGGAGGAACATTCAAAAGTGGCAAAACCAAAAATAGTCCGGGAACGATTCTTCGACTATGTTGGACCATTCTTGAGCATGTTTTGACTACGATTGATTTTCCTCCTAAATCCGCCCGTCGGGGGGTACGCCCGACCCCACGCTACACCCTCTCCGTCACGGGCGGAAGTTGGAGCTGGCCAGGGGTCGGAGGTGGCCGCCTAGCACTGGTGCCGGCCAGCAGGAAAAAGGGGGGGGTGGGTGAGGGTGGGAGGGGGGGGGGTGCGGAGGGGGGGGTGGGGGGGAATTTCGAGGTTTGGGATCCGATGCGGCGTTTTGCTTTTCGCGGCTTCTGGGTACTGGTGTCGGGCCCCCAGGAGCGTCAAGACCAGATCCGGAGCCAAACACTGCACCAGATGGACCCCGGGAGAAAATTCTGGGGACCGGTGCCGAACAGATCTTTGGCCTCATTCCCCCCCTCCTGGCGACTTTCTGCGGCCCCAGGCAGTCCAGGCCTCTGGCCGCCTCCCAGGCGGAAGACACATCCGTGTCCACGGCCTCGCGGGCCTGGCCCCCGGGGGCCGCCGCACAGAGCGCTCTCTGATGCGCGGGCGCCCCGCGCAGAGCGCATGCGTGCGGCAGCGTGTCCACGGCATCGCGCCGTGGAATCCAGGCCTCGAGGGCGTGGGTACGTGTGGACATCGTCGTGCAGGTACTTACGTTATGGACATCTGCACTCGCCGGTAACTCGTGGCAGGCACAGTCGGAGCACGAAGGATGTGGCAAAAAGTGGAGGTGAAGCCAAAGGTTGCCCAGACTGTGCCGTCCCTGTGCTTCTGCCCTGCGCGTGCTCAGACATGGGCAGCACCGCGCTGAAAGTAAAAGCAATGGTACAGTCAAGACGTTCGCCGCCCGTGGGAGGAGGACGAGGAGGAGGAGGAGGAGGAGGAGGAGGAGGGGAATGAGGAGGAGGAGGAGGAGGAGGACGAGGAAGAGGAGAAGGAGGAAGAGGAGGAGGCGGAGCAGGAGGAGCAGGCGGAGGAGGAGGAGGACGAGGAGGAGGAGGAGGAGGAGGACGAGGAGAATGAGGAGGAGAGGAGGAGAATGAGGAGGAGGAGGAGGAGGAGGAGGAGGAGGAGAGGAAGGGGAATTGGAGGAGGAGGAGGAGGACGGAAGAGGAGAAGAAGAGGAAGAGGAGCAGGAGCAGGAGGAGCAGGCGGAGGAGGAGGAGGAGGAGGACGAGGAGGAGGAGGAGCAGGAGGACGAGGACGAGGAGAATGAGGAGGAGGAGGAGGACGACGACGACGAGGAGGAGGACGACGAGGAAGAGGAGAAGGAGGAGGAGGAGGAGGAGGAGGAGGAGGAGGAGGAGGGGGGGAACGACGAAGAGGAGGAGGAGGAGGAGGAGGAGGAGGAGGAGGAGGACCCCCTCCCCCTCCAACTTCAAGTGGTGGTGGTGGAAAACAGACCCATCACCCCCCCAGTCCGTCAGGTGCTTGCCGTCGAAGCCGGCGTCGCCCCTCGTGGTCTGGAGGAGCCCAGCGAAGGCCGAAGAGAATACGAAAGCCTGAAGCTCGAGTGAGCACTCTGCTTGGCCCGAAGCTCAGGTTTCCTCCTGTATGTTTCACCACACAAACACAAAAGGGAGACCTTCGGGGCGACCAAAGTGCGCACCCTAACGTTCAGGATTTTCGGGCCCCGAGGAGGCCGCGAATGCCAGCAATTCAAAATGAACTGCTGAACTTCGGGGTCCCCCACCCCTCAGGGCGGACCCAGGGCATCCATACTGGGGCCCTGAAGCTCTGGACCACCTCCTGGGGACCAGTCGGTCAGGCCTCGGAAAAAAAAGCGAACACTCATGCCACATTCATCTGTCAACGCCTCCCCCTCCCGCCAATGTTCAAAGTTGGCGGTGGGTCTGAGGAGTTGCACCTCGACCGCAGTCTCCCCCGCGCGTGCCAGCTTTGAGTTTGGGGGGGAGGGGGAGTGTTCAGTAATTGTTTCCCTCTACTGGATCACCGTTGCCTGGTGGATGCGAAAAACCATGCATCCAAATTTCCCGTCATGATTTTTGACAACACGCTGGTCTTGGCCTCCCAGATGGGGTCAGAGTAGATGGGGTCGAAGGCTCGCTCCGCATCGCCGATGCATCGGCGATGCGGCTCGATGTGGAGCCCGAGCTTCTCCACACTGGCGTCGCCGATGGATCGCCGATGCATCGACGACGCATTGGCGATGCGGCGCGATCCTCCGACCCCGTCTTCTCGGACCCCATCTACCCAGACCCCCGACGTCGTCATTCTTTCACAACGTCAACCCCCAGAGGTCTGGACCCCTTCCCAGGGGCCGGTTTTTCATCCCAAACTGTTTTCTGACGGCCACGAGGCCCGGGAAGAGCCCCCAGAGGCCGACGATAGCTAAAGACCTCCCGTCGTTACTGTTTGTCACCGCGCGAGGGGTCTGGGTAGATGGCCTTGAGACAACTGGCCAAATTCCCGTCATGATTCTTGTCAACACGCTGGAGGCCTGGGGGCAGTGCTGCTCGGCTGCAGCCTGTGCCTCATGGCGCCAACATCGCAGAGCGGATTCCGCTCGGATCTCGATAGGATGGGCCCAGAGAGCCCTGGAGAATTTCGCTCCGGCTTCCGAAATGAATCTCGTGCGGATGTTTTGTTCTTGGCCAGGGATGCAGACTTAAAGAATGTCCGCGTGAAATTCGCTTCGTTTTTTGCTCGCCGTTTCGGGGACAGTATACACATTCCTCTTCCTATATTTTTATAAGCCCGGGCGGGGGGAAAACCCATCACCCCCCCCAAAAAAACCGGACTCCCGGGATCTGGGGCTTTGGGACCCTCCGGACGGGCCTCGAAGCGGCCCCCCTGGCCTCGCGGGGCGTTTTGCCAAGCCTTCCCAGCACACCTAGGGCGATCAGGGGGGGTCATCGGAGACGTCTCAGAGACCCCCATGACAGCGCAAGAGCGCTCCAAGAGTGACCGACGTGACCTCAAGATGGCCCAAGAAGCCTCCAGGACGGCCCCAAAGAGGCCTCCAAGAGCACCCCCAAGAGGCAAAAATCATAGATTTTCTGATAGTTTTTGGTGAATTTTGGGGTTCTCCTCTTCTCGGCTTCTGATAGTTTTTGGTGAATTTTGGGGTTCTCCTCTTCTCGGCTTCCCGACGCTCCAAGACGGCGGTCTTCTGGGCGTCCGAAGCCGCCTGGGAGGCTCCAAAATCGCCCCACAACCATCCGAAAGGGCTTCCAGGCAGTCCAAGAGAGCCCCAAAACGGCACAACACGGGTCCAAGGTGGCCCTCAGAGAGCCCCATGGCGGCCCAAGATGGCCCCAAGACACCCTCCGAAGCATTCCAAATCGTGACCAGGTCGTTCAGGGAGACCGTGGTTGGAGGCAGGGTGGCCCGAGGAAGCCCCCAGAGGCCCCCAGAATACGCCCAGGAGGCCTAAGCCTGAAGCCATTTTTTTAGGCCCCCAGAGGCTCTCCCAGGAGGAGCCTCCGCAAAGAAAAGCTGAGGAGGATAGGGAGAATGCGCAGGGTATGGCGAACATGAGGAAAAAGAAGCATGGAGGAAGGATGACGAATAACATTATCATAGCGGCGATGCCGGAAAAGGCAACGAGGAGTTATCGCTAAATTGTCGGCTTGACTTTCCTGCTATCCCGCCTGCGTACCAAACTTCAAGGACCAAGATGCATGGCGCGAAGCGCCACTGCAGTCTTGTATATATATATATATGTATGCATACATGCATACATATAATATATGGTTGGTAACAGTATGAAGAAGAAGGAGAAGAATCATAATACTAAGAAGAAGAAGAAGAAGAAGAAGAAGAGTCGGAATAATAATAAGGATACTGATGATAATAATAATAGTGATGATGATAATGAAAGTAATAATAACAGTAACCATAATAATGATAATAACAATGATAACAATGATAATAATAATAATAATAATAGTCGTAGTCGTAGTAGTAGTAGTAGTAGTAGTAGTAATAATAATAATAACCATAATAAACACGCTGCAGTGCTGCAGCACGTCTGCAAGGTCGGTGCAGTGACGTGCCCCTCCGCGGCCCTGGGCCCCGCTGCCCGGCCGCGGCGCGGCCTGCGAGAGGGCCGCCTCGACGAGCCGCTCCCAGGCGCCTCCGCTCGCCGGCGGGGCCCGCGGGGCCGATGCGATCCGATTCGGCTCGATTCCTCGGAGAACGAGTCGTGACAGGCCCAGACCCCCTCGAGGGATGAAAAGAAGTCGTGGCGGGAGGTTGTTCGCCAGTTTCGGCCTCTGGGGGCCCTCACCGGGCCTCGGGACCGTCCAAAAACGATTCGGGACGAAAAACGGGTCCGGGGGAATAGGTCGAGACCTCGGGGGGTCGACGCAACGAAGAAATCATGACGTCGGGGGTCTGGGCAGTGATCGTTTTTCTTATTCCTTGTTTTGCCGATCGGCGCGGGCCCTGGGCAGTGATCGTTTTTCTTATTCCTTGTTTTGCCGATCGGCGCGGGCCCTCGCGCCT